CATGGTAAGATAGTTAACTGTTGTAAGACTGCCAAATGCTTTAATCTATTTAAATTGCAGCATAGGCTATCTTGGAATCCATTAAAAGAACATGATGGAGGAGAAATTTTCAAGCAAATGACTTAATAGAATCAGCCCTGGAAAGGACCATTTATACCATCTCATAATACCCTATGTAAGATTTTTCCCCGTGGCATGGATGTTTGAGCAAGCAGAGGTTGCATAAACAGAGAAGTTGGAAAATGCAAAAATAAATCCAGAAAGCTTTATTCCTGCACTACAATGAATTTATATGAATATCCCAGTATCTGTTTTGTTCATATTTCATAAAGTAGTTAAGTATGTACAATATAGGATGGACCCTCTATTTCTTTTTATAGTGGATTTATAATTGTTTGAAGGGTTTTTTTGAGAAGAATTAAGCTTGTGTCATATTAGAAATAGCCCAGAGCCAGCACCTGTTGGCTGGTGATGTCATTGCAGTCCATGCCAACACAGCCTACACTCATTTTCTGCCTGTGAAAAAGAGAGCCTGGAATAAAGTAGAGGCAATGGGTAGTTAGGGGCTGCCAACAATGTTGGAATTTACAACCATTATTGCAAGCCTTAACATTTGCAAATATTTCATCATACTTTTTGCTCATTTTAAATTCTGTATCCCCAAATGGTAGCTGATATTTGGACTTATGAAAATGTTAACCTTGTGCAAAGTCTGTTGCTGACTTTACTACTACTTGGTTTTTGATTGGAGCTTCTGGACTGATCATTTTTTAAGGAGATGTGCCACAATGGCAACATCATGATTTCTTTGGCAGTGGGGCATTCAGAACTGGCAAAAAAACAAAAACAAAAGAAAGTCAAATGTGTAATGATAACCAAAAATTAAAATAAAAGTGGTCTCTGTAATGCAGGTGGAATGAAAAATAGATTTTAAAGTTTTTATCAGAATAATCTTTGATGCAGGACTATGTCATGATGCTCTTGTAGTTGTTACAAAATTCAGAAGTGCAGTCTCTTTCTGTCTAGATTGTAAAATGATCATTGGATTTACGTAGTATGTGTCTTACATAGAACAGAACCTACAGTAATGAATTTCCCCCCCTAACTATTTAGATAGATTCCTAAAGTTGGAAAGGACCATAGAGATAATTTATCCAATCTGCTTAGTAAAAGATCCACTACAGCTTTTCTGACAAATAACTATCCAGTTTTTCTTTGAAGACCTCTAGCAAAGGGCAGGTGGCAACTGTGGCCAGGGGATCCTTTACACAGCTTCGTGCTATGCACCAGTTGTGTCCCTTCCTGGATCATGAAGCATTGCACATGGTCACTCATGTTTTGGTCACCTCCTGAGTGAATTACTGCAATGCACTTTACATGGGGCTGTCCTTGAAGAACATCCAGAAGCTTCAATTCAGAATGTGGTAGCATGGGCTATTATGAATGCACCTTGTTACACCTTTGCTCTGCAAGCTAAGCTTGCTTCCAGTTTGCTTCCTAGTCCCACCAAACAGGGATGGTAATACAGCAGGACCCAGGAACTGTGCCTTTTCTGTAGCTGTGCCTGCATTTTGGAACACCATATCACTCAAAGTTAGGTTGGCCCTGACCATGTTCACCTTTCAGAAAGCCTGGAAGAGCTGGCTGTCTTCCTGGGCTTGGGAGAGTAATTGAGCCCACCTTTCTTGTGCATGGTTTCTTTGGCAGCCACTTTGTATTTTTAATTTATCATGATGTGTATTTTATATATTACATTTTTTAACCTTTGTTAGCCATCCAGACACATGTTAGTGAAATGGGTGGCCATATAACACACACACACACACACACACTCAATAAATAGATAAAGGAGAACACATCAAGTTACATAGCAGCCTGTTTCCATTGGCTGACAACTCATATAGTCAGGGAGTTCCTCCTGATATTTAGCTGGAACTTCATTACTTGTAATTTTAAACCATTGGTTCTGGTCCTGTTGTCTGGGGAATTAGACAATAATGTGACTGCCATTCAGATATGTGCTATCATATTCTCCCCTCAGTCACCTTTTCTGTAGGCTAAATACACCCATAACCTTTAACCATTTCTTGTAGGGTGTGGTTTTGAGACTACATCATCTTGGTTGCTTTCTCTGAACTTGCTTCCATTTGTCACCATCTGTTTTGGAAGTTTTCAGAACCCACCTATGTTTAATATTCTCATTCTCATTCATCTTACAGTTAATGCTGAAAGTATTAGAATTTTTACTTGACACTGTAATAAATGGGGGGTGGGGGGATTGTTGCTTTCTTCCTAACTGGAATGGACTATCAACTGTTGATCCAGGAAGAAAACCTTGGATGGCGAGAGAGATAAATATTCTATTTTAGATAAAGAAAATAAGTTCATATCTAAATACTGAGGGAAAATTGTTCTACTGATGGCCATAAATTATTTTAAGGCTTAAGAAACAGTATACTTCTTATATATGCTTATGATCATGATGCTGATTTATGTATATGGTTGATATCTCAGCCTTTGGTTTCTACCCCTGTAAGACATTTCATTAGGTTAATTTAGCAGTCTGTGAGCTATGCTGAAATTGCTTGCTTCCCAGGACTTACAAATACTTCAGAAACATCTGCTGTATAGTACAAGCACTGACTTTTCCAATAAATTATATTTATGAAAAGCAAACCTAGTTTAATCCCTTTGAGCTGCTCCTGAGATGGATTAAATGTCAGATCCATACTGTTATTCATGTAGGTTGGAAACCTGGTGTGATTGAGGAGCACTGTTCCTGATCTCCACCTAATAGCTTGTTCTGTTCATGCCCAAATTGCTATAAACTATCGCTGGGTATGAAGTGGAGTGGAGTGTTCCATTTCTGAATAGTTCCTAGTTGTAGAATAGAAAATCCACTTTAAGAAAATAGCTTTTATCAGCAATTAAGTGGGCCTCTTTTAATAGCAATGCAACTGATTTATAAAGGATTTCTAACATTCAGTTCATTTTTTCCCCTTCTCTCTGTTGCTTTTAAAATATATTGAAAGACATTTGAAGCATTAAATAGAAAACTGCTTTTCACAAAATTGGTAATTAGTATAAAAAGTACACCTAAATTAATATTGCATGTGCTTTTTCAAGCTGGAATACAGTAATTCAATATTATTTCATTCCTTGCTACTTATTGTGGTGATAGAAATATAAATTGCAATGGCAGGTTGTAAGTACATCATGATAAAGCAGCTGCTTATTGCTGAAAGTGGTTGTGTTATCCTTTCAGGAATGCTTGTAGCTAGTCAGCACTCTTCTGCTAAGAACCATATTTCACCAATCCATTAAGCATGTCACCTGATGGGACCCAGGAAGTGTGCCTTCTCTGTCGTAGCACCTGCCCACTGGAACACCTATTCCCAGGCCTTATATCTTAGGCCCCATTCTGGTTGTGTTCAAAAGACCTCTGAAACCATAGCTCTTCCCCAGGCCTTTGACCAGAGTGGAGGGTGGGTCCTACGTGTCTGACTCCTTTCACGATGGTTTTTCTTCCAGCATTTGCATAGTGGTGGCAGTTCTTCTCCTCCCACTCCTCCTCCTCCTCCTCCTCCTTCTAAAATAGTATTATATAATCGTTTTTATTGTATGCCACCAAGGGAATCTTCTAATACCAAGAAGTGCTTAATTTTGGCTCAACCAAGTTCAAGTACTTATATCATTCCATTTCTGTCTGGGGTCTACAGTAGTAATACTTATATGAATATGCTATAGTTCTCTATGATTATTTTTTCTTTCAAATCTTACACTGGATAGGAGACTTTAGATTTAATACTTTATATAGTATAGTTCTCACTAAGTGGTGTTTGGTGTACTTAATAATAATCAAATGCATTTAGAGAAATGAAATTAATGTAATGTTATGTGGCCTTAATTTGTGATGACATTTTATTTGATTAGTCAATCCACTAACGTGTATAAGAAAATCACCCTCTATCTTGAAGTTGACCCTGTAGTCGTATATGGATAAAATAAGTAACATGGCTGACTGGTCTTCTATGACCTTATCAGTATCTGTGCCCTCCGTGATTTAACATTGTCAAAAGCTGTTCAAAGTTCTCAGAATAGAAAAACTTAAATTAAAAATGCCAGTAAGTAATGGAAAAATAAATAAAGTTAAACATGCCAATGATTAACAGACAAAGTGAGAAACTTCAGCCAGCTTCCCTGAATGCTTCAGACATTAAACACCTTTGCAACTTAAACATCCCTGCCTATTTATTTCTGAACAGTTAACTTTGCTTTTTATGGACATTTCTCACAGCTTCTCTGTCAGAGTAAACAAATAGTAGTAAAATTATGTCTGAGAGAATAATTATTATAAGGATAGGCGAGGAGAAAAATTACAAGTGTGAAGTGTGATTTTAATGTCTCAGATTAATAGAAACAAAACTCTTGCCGGCAGTTGCTTTCCTGGATACTTAAGTGAAACTGACAGGTACAAACAGATGCCTGTTTATGTGTATTTATTCCTTCATTAAAATTAAGAAACTCTCTGTTTGCACTGAAAAATAGTGGAACAATCCTTCTTGTTACTAACTGTCGGGTGAACCTGGTGTTGATGGTACCACAGTCTCAAATTTCTTAATATGTATTAATTCTGCTGCAAGATTTTCCAGCTTCTTGCTCAGGGAATCTTTCCTAAGGATCTTAACAGGATAACAGCAGCTGCAAGTCAACACCTGTTTATTTGTCTGGGTTCCATGTTATCAGTAAGATACAAGACAGGTTCTCAAAAAACAGAAGTGAGGCTGGGTTGCATCAATTTCACTTAATAGAACTTAACAAGCAAAGTAGTCAATACCTCTGCATGAAATTGACAGCTTTCATTGCCCTGTAATATATGTCTTTAATCTGGTGCTTTTTGGCATGCAAATGTAACCTTACTTTTGCTTTCCATATTACTTTTCCCAGTGTTACAGCCTTAATTGCAAAGCAATTAATTTGACTTCCTCTGCTGTTCACAGAAGGCGATGAGACGGGAGTGATGGATAATCTTCTGGAAGCACTGCAGTCTGGGGAAGCATTCAGGGATCGCAGGAAACGAATGCCAAGGACTCAAGGTAGGACAACGATTGAATTTGGGGCAAGGGGAGAAAATACAGCTGCTGTTCGAAAGCAAAGTAGTGGGGCAAGGGTCTTAGTAGTGGGGCAAGGCCTTTATGAGTTTCAGTGGAAGTATCTTTTGGTTTAGGAGTGAAATACCAGCAGGACATCAGTATGCAATCAACGGATGTAATGGGATAATTATAATAACTGCAACAGGAAAAAGTTCAAGGTGCTCCTGTTTTGATTGATACCACTGTAAATAAAAGTAAATAATGCTCCACAGTTTGTGGCAAATCATTAAAAATGTTCAAAATAATTAAATTGAGTCAACGGCAATCCTTAGCCTATATGAATTATGAATCTTCATTTTTTATGGTAAATTTGTACCTTGTCCTTCAGACTGTTAATTTTGTTAAATGCATGCTAATGAACATTCCTGAGTTGTTTCAGAAGCAGTGCTAAAGGATGGCACATAGCAGGTTTCTCTTCACCAATCCCTCATGTGCCATTATTGGAAGCTACTGGGCTTGATTTGTTTTGTGCCATAGCTTGCTGCCTCACTGGAGTCTGGCAAATGTGATTTAAATAAATCGTAGTTTACTTGAAAGCCACCGTTTCTTTTCCACAGACTCAGATCTGTTCTAAATGTGGTCAACACATGAAGGAAGGAACAAACTTTGCATCTTAGGTGTCTGCGGCAAACCACAGGGACAGAAAAATGACATGTGCACAGTGACATGATATTCCCTTACATATTTGCAAGCCAACATCTGATGTAAATATGTACATTGTGGGGGTTGCATTTTGACATGCATATCTATGTTTTATATGGAACAGAGATCAAAATATACACTCTAGAAAATTCATCCTCTCAATCTCAGAGGATCTAATGTCTGACCCTGGTGCATTTAGGCTCCATGGGTTGTAATTTGAGTGGAGAATGTGGTTACATCTTCTTCCTCCTGTTTGCATTCATGTTACTATGGCCATATATATTGACTTTTAACAGCAACCTTTAGGGAGAAATAAGTGGACAGGTTCCTTAAATGATATTGTAGAGTTATATACTATCAACGTAATTATTTCAGAAAGTCATCATGATTAATTTGTGACTGAACGATGAAATTAGCAAAGAAAAAAAATAAATAAAAAGACTGAATATTTCAACATATAAAGCAGTGTTTCTCAACCTCGGCCACTTGAAGACGGGTGGACTTC